CACTGCTTCGCTCCTGTCAATTTGATAATGACGCGCGTGAGATTCCACCATCGGAGATATTCCGGTTGCAATTTTACAATTGCCACGCATATACTAAGGACGGCTTAATTTTGATACCGTCAATTTAACACGAACGTAAATCCGTCATTATTGTTTACTGAATAAAGATTGTTTTTGGAATAGATCGTATAACGTTGATAATAATCAAATAGAAAACGTTTAGAACTGACATTTAATAAGATATAAGGCTTTAATATGGAACGTTTGGTAATTAATATACATACCGGTTTATCAATATGGAAATTGATATTTTCATGTTCATATCTGAACTTATACCTTTATCTAATTAGTATCTTGGTGTATAATTATACATGAATTTAAATATAATTTATGAGAGTGTAGAAATTGAAAATGGCAATGAATTCTGCAAAGAATTGGCAGTGAATTTTGAAAGTATAATCTATTTTTTGTATTTTTGAGAATTCTGGTAAATAAATTTAAATTTCTAAAAAATAAATAAAATACAATCCGATTTCTGTAATAGTAAAAACTCAGTGTTAAAACTTTCACAAGTATGTAAGAATTTTTATTATGTACTACTATGCATTAGTGCCTCCAACCAAATTCGCTGTATAATTTTTATATCGATAATTATATTTTTCGAAACTATTGGAAAAGGTGCAGGTTATTTTGGACAGATAAAATTGCTTAATACGTGTATTATTATATTAATTGAACAAGTTGTTAGAGAAAAAGATGGTAATTCTTTGCTTCTTTCTAAACTTTAATTTCAAATTATAATAAAATCTATAAGATTACACACAACTTATTTAATCTTACATTTAATGTAAAACACTTGAAAAAAAAAAACAGTTTGAAAATAAGAAAAGTTATTTAAATGAAAAAAACCATTATGACTTAAATGCTGAATAATATTTAGTGATAAAATGTAAAGTGGGATCCTCTATGCGTTTTTACAGAATCTGATACTTCAGATCTATTTGAACTTCCCATGCTGAAATTCTGATTGTAGAAAATTCTGATTGTATTGAGATATCAAGTTTAAAAGTTTTCTTCGTGAATATTTTTTGTATCTCTTCAATCCCGCTTCGCAGATATCTCTATAAGAATTTAAAATCATTTTTAAATAATAACCACAAAAATTTTTAACGAAAAACAATGCAATGCAGTCTGCTCTGAGCTTACAATATCCGCTTATTATTATGCAGCTCAATATTAATAAAATTTACAAATTCAATTTATAATATTTTAGTAAAACATAATACATTGCATTTGCCTTTTCTTTTGGCGAACACAATAAGTTTTTGAAAAATGGAACTGATTCAATAGAAGTGTGCCAATCGTTCCCCAATAATTTCGTAGAAAACTCATAAATTGAATATGATGCCTGTCAGGCGAGAGGCGGCTAACTTTCAAGTTTTTGCTCATTCAGTCTCCTTTTTTTTTATTTTTATTTTTTTTTTGTGTATTTTGTATGTAACTGCCGCATTTTCGTATCTCGGACCATTCAGTCTCTTTTACTGTCATCATGAGAATTGCTTCATATTTCTGCATTGTATTCGATGTGATTGTTTACGGTTTTTTCCGTTCGGTGATATATTGGACACATGTCAATTTTGTGTTACGACCAAAAAAGGAAACGAAATCCCGTTGTGCTTTCGTCATGAAGTTTGGCGCGTGGCAAGATGAAAATCAATGGAATTTCCGGTAAAAATATAATGAGAAAGACGGAGAGAGGGACGGATGGGATGCATACAGGTACATTATAAATAAGGGTACATCAACGTCTACCTGCTGCGTCAAAGGTACACTTGTTGCGCATTTTCCTCGAACGACACACGCTTCGCGTACGATAAATCACGATTATGTGTGCTCAGTCAGGAACAGGAAAACCATCCCCTACCTTTGACACGCATGGAGAACGGAGGAGGGAGAGGAATAAAGAAAATTTCACGTCTCTTCGATGAGGGTAAATTGAAACTGTTGGAAATCGGATGTTGTGCACACGCAAAGTGCGACGACGGTCGCACTTTCACTTTGTTATTACATAAGCAGGGATGTAGCAGGGATGAAGATTTGGTTACGGTCGTGTAACAACCGTGAGATTGCCCAATTGTCTCTCAAATATTTTACATCGCTGTCAAACGGTGTTTATACAATGAGATTTTTACGATGTGAAACTTAAGCTTAAGCCCTAAGCCGTAAGAAATTACGGAGGAGACGGATCATAGTCGATTATTCTCCTCACATTCGGCTATAATTGATTAATTTCTTATGACTTGAGGCTTAAGTTTCACACCTTAAAATCTCATTGTAGATACGCTTTGCGATAACAATTATGTTATCTTTCATCGTATACCGAAATCGCTAAACAAACGCAATTTTATCACTTAAAATTACAAAATTGTAGAAAATTTTGTAGAACTGGGAAGAGATGAAATTTAGCTTTTTCATATTGTGCGTTTTCCTCGCAATTCCACGTATTTTTCGACGTACTTTTATCAGATTCTGTATCTGATTCGAGTGAATCTGCTTTTAATACGAGAATTCAAAGAACACATTCACGAACGAACACGTGGCGAGAGTCGTAATTCGTTGATGTGAAAGTTCTGTGACAATGTAAGATTTAAAATTTCATTCGAACATCCGCGCGAGAAAATACTCATTGTTAGTTTTGTCTTCAGCATTTTGTGGCAGCACATGGAAATAGAGGTCACACGTGTCTGACATGTGTCGGTTTTCGAAGGTTAGCTACTATACTTCTCGCCTTCAGCGCGCTTCTGTAGAAGACGTCCATGTTTAGAATTCCCGCGGATGTTCTCGCCGTCGCATGTTAGACGTATGGAAAGAAACACTGATCCGCGTTCGATGCAACAATATTGGAAGGACACGATGGAAGGTGTCTTCGATGAGCGTTCTGATAAGGCAAATGTTGATAAGGCAAATGTTGATCACTCCTAACTCACAGATGGGATGATAATTCATAGAACACACGAATAAAATGTTTTCCCTTTTTTTGTTCGATGTGTTTTCGAAAGTAGTTAACGTAACAATGGGCACGCGTCTCTCTTTATCCTTCTATTTTTTTTCTTGTCTCGTTAATCCTTTGCTTCTTCGCCATTTCTCTATATTAGTTCCGGTTAACTTTTCATCGGATGACCTGACTGCTCGTCTTTAATATAACGCTATTGTCAAATGACACTATAAATATAGGTTGTTTTACAGTCTTCTTCTCACAGTTCGTCATAGATATAACAAAAGAAAAAGATATCTACTATCTCGTTTGTTTCTCGTTAGCTATTGTTATTGCCTTTACTGTTGTCCCAATTCTCTCAACAGGAAACGATCAAAGGGACCCGACTTTTGTTTGGTTCTTGTATATTTTTTGCAGGTATTGCTGAGAGATGAAGGACAGATTAAGTATGAATATTTCAGTCATAGAATGTTTCGTACAGTGGAAGAGCTTCTGGTTACTTGTCAAGCATTACAATTTTTCTTGATACAAAAGTTTGCTCAAAGAGCAGAATTGTTACAAGTTATGCAAAGAT